CGATCATATAGCCTGGCTGACTGTGATGCTTCACCTTCATTTGAAAAAAGTTATATTAAACTTGCTTGCTGTAAGTACCATTTGCATTGATAAAGATTGTTATTGACACATTTCTGCAAGTATAAGCGAGACCGCAACACTAGGGGTGTGTGCGCAGTATAAACCAAGCCAAAAAAATACCTGATAAATACCTTGATCAATTTCTTCCTAGACACTTGCATAAAACCTTTCAGTTTCTTCCTTATCAGCATCTGTAGATGGGGCGTAAACTTGAATGATGGTTATGCTGATAGGCTTTCCATGAAGTTTCTGTCAAACTTTGCAACTGTGTTTGTCATTTCCCAAGTAAAACACTCTGTAAATATCTGACTGAAAATATCCTAATTCAGTACTCTTTAGTTCACTCATTCCCAGGATTGCAGAGTCTAAACTTCTTATGGCATTGCTCTCAGTTTTGCTGACACAGAAAACCTCATGTGTAATGCTCGAGGAAATTCTGTTTCACTGTATCTGAAGAAGTGTTCTTGCACATGGAAGCACATGAATAAAACTTTGCCACTGGACTCAAACTTTGTTCTGCTGCTTCAGACCATTATAGCTACCCACCTGAATCTATGTTAAGGTGTGCATCCAAGAGAGATTTATGCTTTAATACTGTTTACTTCTTAATTCTGTCCTACATACAGGAGAAATGTTATATATTAAATACAATTTGTTCAAAAATGGTTAACGTTTTGAAACTTAAAGCAAATATGTGTGAAGTAAAAACATTTACATTCCTACTGCTTAAAAATATGGATGTTATAGTGCTGGCAGTATTAATTACCTGCTGCCACTTGAATCGGCAGCATGAAAAAAGTCTTAAAAGGCTGTGGCAGCTGCATCACTATGTCAATTCCGGGGAGAACCCAGAAGTGATGTAGGGTAGCTTTAGAAATTGCCAGAAATGCTGAACTTGGAAAACCTGAAATGCATTTGAAGATACTACTTACATTTAAAAAGTAAAATAATTTCATTTCATAGAAATGCTTGTAACCAGTCTGAAGATTGAGTATTAAATTGTTTATAAAAAAACTGTAAAACTGTGACAGCCAGGGGATATAATTTTTTTAATTGTATCAAACATATGGAGTTACAAGTAAATACAAAAAGTACATTTTTGTGTTTTTCATGACATGGTGATCTCTACACTTGCTCTTAAATTAGTTGTTTTTGGAGAGTCCTGGACATTGATGCTATACATTAAATGATATTGTGTATCACACCTGGGAAACTGATGGTGCAGCAGTGTCCACTGTAAAATTAAATAGCATTATTTAAGAAAGTACCACATGCCTGGTTAGGGAAGTGATGAGACCCAGTAGTCTGGTATATGGGTATTAATGTGAGCCCCAGGTTTTTCTCACATGATTAAAACAGGCCATCTGTTCTTTATTAAATGTTTACAAAAACAACTTTTCTTTGAAAGATTTAGGCTATGTGACCCTAACAAAAAATGAAATATTTCTGACCGCCTTTCACCTTTCAAATAGTACCCAACTCCAAATGATTGTTCTACATACTAAACAGGATTATTACCTACTTGTTTCTTGCCTGTAGAAAATTTAATTCTGTGTCAATATACAGAATTATGCCTTCACTAATTAAAGCAGCAATAGAAAAATTAACTGGTGATTGAAGTGAGCAGCTAACTTGCTTTTTTAAAAAATCTGTAGCTTGTCAGTTATGAGTAAAGTGGGGGTGGGATTGAGAATGCAGGTGCACTGGGCAGAGAAAAGGATAGAAGTGTGTCTTTGGAGACAAGTTATGGAGGGGAAAATTTCAAGCCACTTCTTCACAAACCTTGAAAGTGATGGGTGCTGGCAGCTATACATGTGTGCTCCTTCATGATGCCAACAAATGGTTGGCAGGGTAGAGCATGCAACTGTGAGCTTTCTGCTGGGTATATGAGTTGAACTGAAGAAAAGCAAGTGATTCTTTAAGCCTCCTTGCAGCTTCATGTATTGTGGTGGGAGCACATTGAAGTTGTCACTGGAGGTGACACCAGCTTCAATTCTCACTCTCCCAAGCTTTAAATTACAGAGAGAATTTCTGCACAAGAGGAGAGTTTGTAAGGTGGCAACCAGGTCTCAGTATGTTTGGATGGGGGTAGTGGCTTCCACCATGGTTCCTTTTGACTTCCATTCTTGCCATTGGAAAGCTGGAAGTCATTCTCTTGCAATACATTCTGTTTCAAAAATAATATAAAGAAAGAATTTTAAAGCAGTTTATAAATGATCTAAATTGGGGTGAGGGCTGAGCTGAAATCCTATCCCTTATTAACCTTTAATTCTCTTTGAGTCCCATTGGTTGGAGAAAATCAAAATATAAAATATTTTAAGTAAATAAATATAAATATAAAATCATAATTTGAACTAAAAGTTGATAATCCATGCAATAGAAGTCAGAAGAAGCGAAGGGAGAGAATTAGGAAAAGTTGAAGGAACTAATACATTTCAGGAGGGTGAGCTAACTTAAAGAAAGATGAAGAGAAAAATCCAGTAATGCTTCTGAAAAAAAACAAAACTTTTATCTGTGTTTAACAAGCGAAAGTTTTGAAAAGCAGAAAAGTGACAATGAGAACAGGAACTACTTGCCTCAATGAAAAATAATCTGACTTGTCCAAAAAAATGTGCAAAATTGTAGTGTAAGTATTCAGAATGACTTCTGGATTTATACCCAAAATGTTCTGTAGATGTGACATGAAGAAGCCGCCAAATCTAGGGAGTTAGTAGGATATATAGAATAGTTAAAGAAAAGTAGAAGAATTGAAAGTGGAATGGAGTAGAGGTGAAATGAGAAACAGAAGCTCTGACTTGCTGAAAAAGTAAACAGAAGGAACCATAGAAAGAAAAGTCCATAAAGGTCCTGCTAGAAGATTTGAACAGACAGTAAATAGAAGCAGAGGATGGAAATGGAAAAATTGAGCACTACAAAAAAAACCCTCAAAGCTAAGAACAAGGTCTAAAATGTGATGTGCACAAAACATGTGGCTTCCAGGTTGGCCACACCCAGCAGGAACTCATTAGCATAATAGGCCACACCCAACAGCAGAAACTCATTAGGATTGGCTACATTAGGGGTGTGTGGCCTAACATGCAAAGGAGTTCCTGCTACAAAAAAGCCCTGGGTAAACAGAATAAGAAGCAAAAGGTGGGTGTGGCTGGATGAGCACACTTCTGGTAACATGGGGGTGCGGCCTAATATGCCAGTGAGTTGTGCTGTCAGGGGTGTGGCCTAATATGCTAATGAGTTTCTGCTGTTGGGTGTGGCCCATTATGCTAATGAGTTTCTGCTGGGCTTTTTCTACAAAAAAAGCCCTGGGAAAAGTTATGAAGGAATTTAAATCTGAAAGAAGAAAATATGAAATGTCTAGAAGGGCAGTAAGTATCAGCAAGATTAAAAAAGACAAAAGCCAAATAACATGTCAGTAGGGCAAAAGCAAACCCCATGATCCTGAAGATGTGAATATGAGAAAGGACTATCAGAACAAAATACGCAGATGGAGCTGTCATTGTATTGAATGGAGAGAGGGGTTGGACACACAAGCTAAGGCAGCACCTTTCCCACTTGGATGCCAAGTTGTATGCTTGGATGCTGTTTTTCCATAAGGCCTATGAAAGAAAAATCCAGCATGCCTGAATGGTGTGGTGATTTTCTAGATTTCATATAGGGTAATGATTTTGATTTATGCAAGTTGAATTTTCTGCGTAGGCCCAATGCAGAATTTCATACAAGTGTGGATTACTAGCCCAGCTGGAAGTGGAGCATGTGCATGATTTGTCCAGAGCAGTCAAGAGTTAGCTAACTGTTTTTAGAGTCAGAAAATGTGTCTAAAAATGCATAATGACAACAGAGGCACCCATACCTGTGAGAATGGGAAATAGATTGTGACAAGAAAAGGGAGTGCGAATTAAAACCTCTACAGGGATGACAAGAAGAAAGACTATTACCAGATAAGAGTAATGAATGAATTAGCACAAAAATAATTATTATTTCTCAGTCTCTTGAATGCATAAACTGAGATCATTGACTGTTGAATGGCTGTTTGGCACTACTTTGAACAGTAATGTATGGCTTATACACTAATCAGTATACAGAAGAACATACACTTGAACAATTGAAGGTTTATTAACGAAAAGCTTAATTTTCACAGGTGGAAGAACCATCTACATGTGTCCCCTTTCTCAGTGTGTTTTTCAGACCTTGGTTTGTAGCATCTTGTCTGCTTATTGTTCTTTTAATCACTAATATGTTAGTGACAGACAGGTCCACAAAATTGTTAGCTTTTTGTTTGACCATAATAGTAAATGGATAGTTCTACACTTTTACCGTTCCAGGCACCTTTGTTCTGTTGTACAGATCTCCCATCTTACCTGCTTTTCTTGAGTTCTGGGCGTGCCAAAGGATTATCAATAACAGTTTGGAGGCAGTCTTTCTATTCTACTAAAAGTGGAGTCTCCCATTAATACATTGAAACATGCCTCTTGCATCAGATCAAGGCTCCTTGTACCAGCAGAAGACTCCTTATCCTAAGAAAATACTCCACTGTTGGTAGGATGGAAACTTTGGGTCCAACTCACAGTAGTACCTCCACCCAATTGCCCTGTAGTGCTGCCTACTTTAATAGAAGACATTTTTCATTTATAGCTTAATTTCACTTTTCCTTTTTTAGAAGAATATAATTGTTTTAAATATATCACACATATGTTTTGTGTATTAGAATATCTGGTTTGGATAGACATATTTGCAATATCAAACGATGCATAGCTTTTCCAGACTAATACTTTTTAGCAATGCCCATAATTATTTAAGATAAATGTATTCTAAAAGGTACATGTTTTGTGTCCCCAAATTATTCTGTTCTTGTCTGCAAAAATTGGGTCCATGCCTTTATCTTTGGTCTAAAGTTATTCCAAACACATAATTATTAAAATCCTTATTTTTTGTCCCCTTTCTAGCATTCTCCATCAGAACCCTTCCTGGAGAAATCAGTGCCAGACATGACTCAGGTTAGCGGACCGAATGCCCAGCTACTGAAAAGTGATGATTATCTATCATCAATTGAGCAACAACCACCCCAGCAAAAGAAAAAGAAAAAGAAAAACAATCACATTGTTGTAGAAGGTCCCAATAAAGGATTTGGTAAAGAAGGTTTTCCTGGTGGGCTTGATGGCCAAGATCCTACCAGGAAATCATTAGACTGCTCCCAGGAAGAGAAAAAGAAAAAGAAAAAGCCCAAGGTGAAAAAAGAGCCGAAGGATCCAAAAGAACCGAAGGAGAAGAAGGAGCCTAAGGAACCCAAGACTCCCCAAACCCCTCAGATCCCTAAAGATCCGAAGGAAAAGAAAGCAAAAAACACCACACCAAAACCCAAGAGCAACAAAAAGGCGAGGTATGTGAGAAATGTGAATGTTCCAATTAAATAAAATTTAAATGCTCTACTCATTGCAGAGTGAGGGGAAACTTCACCTGATCTCTCTTCCTTCCAACCCCCCCCCCCAAAAAAAAGCTGCATAACATTTTGTTCAAGAAAGTCTCCTGACCCTGATGGGTGGTTTTGTGGGCCATGCTGGGGGCTCCTTGGGGATTAGGAAGGCAGGGAAGATCAGCTTCTGCAGTCTTCTTTCCGTCAGGTGTTTTAAGAATCAGCCCTGTGTGAACAAGTGATTTCCTCACAAGTTGCGGGTATGGTTATATATAGACTGACCTGAGTAATCTGGCACAGCCTGCCCTTTTTCCTCCTGAAACATGTTGTTAAGGGAACTACTAAACTGAATAAAAGAGTATTTTCTTAGTTTAATGATATAGGTAGTGTGAAAGGCAATGTCTCATATATACCCCAGAGAGTACTTTGGTCGGGGTCACAAAATCGATTGACCCTCCCAGGCCCCAAGGATGCCATGCTTATCACCGTCAGGGCCTTCTCAGTGGTGGCTCAGTACTGGTGGAATGAGCTCCCGGAAGAGATCAGGGCCCTGTGGGATCTTTTACAGTTCCGCAGGGTCTGTAAGACAGAGCTCTTTTACCAGGCCTTCAATTGAGGAGCCACCACTATTATTACCATCAATAATCTCTATTACAGAGTTTGGCCCTGGCTTTGACACTTGGCCTGTGCCGCGGCTTGAATCTTGATGCTTGGAAGATCAGAGAGCTGAATGATTGTTGACCACTATTGCACTTATTTGTACACCAGCACCATCACGCCAATGGAGGAATATCACCAGCACCTAGAGATGTGAAGGCCCGGAAAAAACCCGGAAAAAATCGGAAAAAAAACGTTTTTTTCCCGTTTTTTCCCCTGAAGATTTTTTGTTTTTTTCCGAAAAATTGGAAAAATTGAAAAAAGAAAAGAAAAGAAAAAATGATTATGGAACGTTTTATTTTAACATGATGAATAAAATATTTTAAGACAAGGTGTTCAAATATTTTCCAAAACCAAACAAAGGTTAGTGGAAAGGAGGGCCAATATTAAAACCTTTTCATAAAAAGCGGTAAATGTATTTATTAATAATAACAAATTAAAACATATATAGGGGCCCAATTACAACCAATATATATAAAACATAACCATAACCAGGGCTAAAAAAGTTTTATATATATTGGTTGTAATTGGGCCCCTATATATGTTTTATATACCTCTTTTTATGAAAAGGTTTTAATTTGTCTCTCCCTTTCCACTAACCTTTGTTTGGTTTTGGAGTTCTTTGTTAGGTTTAGTTTTTTTCCCTTTCTTGTTCCTGCTTCCAAATATTTTCCAAATCATTTCTAAAATATATATATATGGTATCAGATTGATCTAATTTCTGTGCACTGAGGACAAGCCAGTCCTAGGTTACAAACTGAACTCTCCAATGCAAGATGCATGTCTTCTTTTAGGAGGTGCTATTGTCAGAAGAAAATAAAAAGGTTTCAGTTTTGTTTTTGCATGTGGGTGGGTATTCTGTTTGTAATAATTGTTTGGATACACTATATTTTTAATATGCTAGTTGTGATAATTTCATGCCAAATAAAAATGTCCATAGTCATATTTTATGTTCCTAAAGTAACAGAATGACTTTCAATCTAGAAAAGACAAAAGAAATGCTAATGTAGCATTTTTTTCAATTTTTCCGAAAATTTCCGTTTTTTCCCGTAAAAAAACGGGGAAAAACAGGTTTTTTTCCGAGCTTCAAAATTTTCGGAAATTTTACATCTCTAGCACCTTGTGATTTTTAATGTATAATTGAACTGTTTTTAGTAGATTTTATGTGGATTTTATTGTTATTTATGCATTGTTACAGTGAGCCGCCCTGAGCCTGCCTTGCGGGGAGGGCGGGATACAAATCTAATAAATAAATAAAATAAATAAATGTATTAATCTATTTCGGTGGCACTAGATTGTTTGTCAAGGACAGTGGTTCCCAAACATTTTTGGGCCACCCCCCCCCCATTCTATAAACTCATCTCCACTGTCCCATACCCTTACCCTATAAAAAGCATTATTCAGAATAACAGTTTGCGTAATCCACTAAGGAAGATAATAACAATAACATTTGAAATAATTAATTGCATGTTTATTCAACATGCAATTCAAACTTTAACAATTTAATTTATTCAATAAAATTGATGGACTTGATCCAGTCATACAAGCTTTTCAAAGGCTGATAGTCATTTCGCAAGAATCTTAGATACCACATTTAGTAACTATTTTACTGTTTGGGTTTGATGACGTGATACCAGTTTCCCAGTGTCTGGTTTAAAGTAACTTAGCAGTTGTCTTAAATCTCCACGTTTAGTAATTTAGAGTCAATTTCTTTGTTTGGAGAGATGTTAGATAACCACACTAAAACCATGGTCCACCAAATATGATGTTGTAAATACAACAAGGAACTTCTTAACCACTGGCCATAGTGCAGGATAGTGATCAGAAATTTCCTTTTGTAACCTCAACTCTTGGTCTAATTTCTTAAACTTTGGCTTCAGCCCAATGTCATTTTGTAGCTCAGTTAGTTTTTCCTCCACTACCCAGACTTCCTCAGTATTGGAAAATAAATTTATCACCCAATCTGGAATTTTAAATCCTTATAGAACCTAAAAATACTAAAATTGGGTAAGCTGCGACAAAAAAACACTTTTATAGCAAAAAGCCCTTTTTATACTCAACAGGTTCACTAACTGAGAACACGGGAAAACACTCAGTACTATTATGTTAAGGACTTAACAGCAAAAACTTGAAAAATGGCAGAAAGGCAAAAACACACTCAGTGATGACAGTTGCTCAGCACATGGTATACTGGTCAGACTAATGCTCTGGTGGCATATTTACTAAAAATTCTGATAGTTTCCACCATATCTCAGCCTTATGCAGAGGCAGGAAAGTGCCATTTGCCAGCATGATGCTATAGCCTGGGCAATCTTAGATAAGTGAAAAGTACAGTCAAAGTGGCCATCTCCAGCACTCTCCTCATGCCCCCTTGCCCTCCTTAGTAATTCCACCGCCACCCTGTGTGGGGGTATACTGCCCACTTTGGGAACCACTGGTCTATGAGAATAAACAATTTTAAACTATTTTGACAATGAATAACATTTTTTGTGAATTCTTTGGTTCCAGAACTGAGAAGGTCTGAATTTTCAGGTTCATGAAGTATATTTGCAAAATATTTGAATGTTTTAGGTTTTGAAAATGTGACTTAACTTGGTAAAGTTAAATGGGGTGGAACTAATGTAACTTCTGATATGTAGAAACTTGTGTACTCAGATTAAAACCGTGAGGGTTCGTACCTCATATGTGTTGCAAGAAAGCTATGTGGTATCATTGAACTGATACCATTCAAGGATAGTACTTATATTTTATAGAAGAAAGTTTGAATCCAGTGGCGCCTTTAAGACCAACAAAGTTTTATTCAAGGTATAAGCTTTAATGGTTGAGGAAATTCTGTTTCACTGTATCTGAAGAAGTGTGCTTACACATGAAAGCTCATATCTTGAATAAAACTTTGTTGGTCTTAAAGGTGCCACTGGACTCAAACTTTGTTCTTCTGCTTCAGACCAACACAGCTACCCACCTGAATTTATATTTTATGTAATTTGGTATACTGATAAGTACAAGAGGCATCCTAAATGAGGTTAAGCCAGAGGTGTCAAACTCATTTGCTACGAGGGCCAGATCTGACATAAATTTCACTTTGTTTGGCTGGAACTGTGTGCCATAAAATGTAATGCTAGGTACCATAGATAGAAACTGTATAAAGGACAACAGCTGGTAAGATCTAAGTTGGTGTATCCTCACTGCAAGGCCCCATGGGCTAAGAGGGGGGTGCAGAGGAAAACCCACATAAGCGGACTGGAGAGGCAGCTGGGCAGATGCTCCCACGATGCTTGACTGCTGCAGACAAGGTTGTTCTGCCACACTAAACCTACAATGGAGTGGCTCTGCCCACTCCCCCTCAGCACTACCTCCCTTGCATCAGTTGCTCGCAGGCTGCATAAAAGCCCTGGATAGGCCGGCTCCCAAGCCTTATGTTTGAAAAACCTGGGTTAAGCCATGTCACTCCAAGGATATGTGAACATTTTTCAGGGAGAAAACAACTTCTGTTCTGGATGTTTCTATAGACAAAGCTTTATTCCTGTTTCCTGTCCTTGCATCACTTACCTCTTGGCTGCCTGAATGAAGTGTGTTTTCCCATGCTAACTCTGTAATTAAGTGCTCTTTTGTTAATTCTGCATGTTGTCTGATAGAGAAGGAAACAGCCAATGAAAGCTAGAACTATTGGAATGTGTTCTCAGCCATTATACAGGTAGGTTGAACAAATTAGGCATGTGATGTAAATCATGGCCTTTATGCTCCTTTATTAGGGTTGCCAGATCAACTTACCTGGCCAGCGGGGGTCTCCCAATGTCCTTCCGGGAGACCAGAAGTGATGCTGGGCATTTTCAGGCCTACTTCCGGTTTCAAGCTTACTTCTGGGTGACACTCTGGTTTTTGAGCAAAACTCTGTGGTACATTTGGCTTCAAACCATAGAGTTTTGCCCAAACACCAGAGTGTCATCCCCAACCAGAAGTAGGCCTGAAACTGGAAGTAGGTCTGAGAGTAGGTTGGGGGTGGGAATTCCCCCCGCCAGCCAGTTGACTGGCAGCAGGCAAGAACCTGTGAAAGCAGAGATTCCCCCACTCCAACGGGGGAGGGGGGCTGGCAACCCTATCATTTATAACTGCATATTTTAAGGCCTGAACTCACTCTAGTTTATTGAGTTAATGGAGATTCTGTTTGAAGCAGTATAACATCTGTGAAAGAAACTTGCTCTTGTGTTCCAGGTGATACTAGAGGCTGAGATATCTGTCCTGCAGTGCTCATAATTGAATCAAGTTTTTAAGTGGATCTGTAGGCTAAATTATTAGTCTGTCAACAGTTC